GCGAACTGGCTGAATCCACCACTGCTGACATGAAATAATTAACTAATCAAAATATTACTATTATGTTTGTTTGTTGTTAAACACATAATGGGCTATCTATAAGCTGATGTGGGTATCAGGTTCAATTCCTATTGCTGCCAAACCTGCTTGCCTTGTCTTCGCTATGGCAAACTTACTAAGGCTATCTGCCACTGTCACTAATTTTTGACTGCTGAATAGAAGAAGTGTAACTGGCTCATAACATCTGCCAACAATTTTTTTTTTGCTTCTTTGTACCATGGTTTAAAGAACATGGTACTAATTGATTAATTGAATTTAATCAACTAATCAATTAGCAACTAACACTAATTGCCCAGCTGCACACACAGATGCTTAATTTTCCTCTGTGCATGATTATTTTCTTTCATAATTGTTCAACTGATCAAAACAATTAGAAATAATCTTCAAAATATCTATGAAAATTATAATTTTCCTATAATGAAAATGTATTTCTGATAGGTACTTACCTCCTCTCACAAGATTAGCTATTCTCATTAGGTGCTGCCATCTCAACTTATTTTTAAGCATGCCACAAGCCTTCTGCTCCCCATTATTGGAATTATAAAATTCCAACATGCCCCTCATGCAAATCATTATGCGTTGCCTCTTCATCAATAGGAGCATGACATGCTCACGTGATGAATGTGACTCCATTTACACTCTTCTATCAAACGATCACTTCAAAGTTTAGCAGAAGTTGTCAGCATCGGAAAAATGTGGAGAGGAATGGTGGGAAGTGTGAGTAGAGAGAGGTAAGTACATTTCGGAAATACTTTTTTTAGTATAAAAAAAATATAACTTCCTATATGGTACTTACTTCCTTTCACAAGATCAGCTAGAATCCTACATTGATAAGGAAGAGGGATCAGTGTGAGGGAATGATAGAAGTACCCCTCAAAAGGTCTGAAGGATACCCCTGGAAATGAGAGATTCTGATCCAAAGATCAGAAGAGGGGAACTGCACCACTTCTGAGCCTGGAATATTTTTCACCCAACTGTAGAACATGCAAGGTATAAGAGGAGCACATCCTAGTAGGAGAGAATGTGGCAGTAAAATGATCCTTACCACATAAATATCTTGTAACTCAATCCATAAATGAGAAAGGTGGGTAAACAAAGAATGCACCTTTAAGTAGAGTAGCTAGGGCACGGTGGACCATACTCGGTATGCCAACTACATCCAAAACATGCCATCGGGGTACCAACATCCATGCGAGGGTAGGATGGGAATCATACTTTCTTCACCTCAAACCCAAGAACTGAGAACCACTCCAATTCTTGGGTATTACATGAGGATTAGCTTTGAGCTACCAATCAAGGAACTTGACATCCGGTTATTATGTAGAACTCATTCAGCAGGATGCCTCCATGGTCAACCACCCCAAAAACATGAAACTGGAAAGTGGTAAGGACTCCTATATTCCATTCGAAGAAAGGAGGATGACAATGGGGTGAAGAGTCCAGAGGAACGCCATCACCTGAGACATTGCATTGGGTGACTACAAAACCTTATTTTGAAAAGCAGATTATATTGAGTTATTCACTCCAGGCATGGCAGGGATGGGCAGCAATCATCTCCTGCTTTACCCATGCAGTCCATGGGTGGTACAGTCAGGGATGAGCATGTTTATGAAGCAAAATATCACAAGGTCATGTACCTACAAGCAATTTTGTGGAATACCCCATCTCAATGGTAAGCATATAAAACCATGGAAGATAAAGCACAAATCAACATGGCTGGACATTGTGGATTTTGAGTTAAAGAATGCCTGGTCAGGCACCACTCACCACAGAGTGGGATCCATGGGTTAAAAAAATAGAGAATGACCCCTGAAAATAAAGTAGGAATAAAAATTTACCAGTTAGAGTCACACCAAAGTCTGAAGAATAGCCACAGATGACAGACAAAACCCCGACAAAGAGGAAACTGCGATATGATGGAGATAGTGGGAAATGAACATCTTGGGTGTGGTGTACGTGCCAGACTGCAGAATCTCCTCCACTGAATGAGAAGGAAGGGAAAAAGTGAGGTGTCGGATCTGATGGGAGGACACCTGGAACAAATTCCAGGAAGAAGAAGGTAGGGATGAATAGGCCAACTGAAACAAAAGATGGACCCAATTGGTAAGGGTAGAATAAGAAAGATTACTAAGGGAGGAGGATTACCAGGAGATAAAAAGTTGGGAATGTGTACCCTGGAAGGAAGCAGTATGTGCAATACAACAATGAAGCCTATACAGATTTGGTCTAGGGTAAAGATAGGAAATGGAAGGAAGGGATACAGGAGAAAGGAGGAACTATCCTCCCGAGCTGTCAAGGGCTTTGGGAGAAAGGAATGATCTGGATATTGGAGAAGATAGGTAAGGCAATAAAGGGTATGTGAAACATTAATGGCAAACAAGGATCCCAAGTAAGGTTCCATCAGTCAAGAAGTACCCACTGAAGGGATCTCATATAGTCATGATCAAGGGAAACCAGTGATTTCATTGATGACCACATCCTGAAAAGTGATAGAACCTCATGAGCAGTAAGTGAAAGAGCCTAGAGGGCATGACAAAACAACAGTTCCATTGAATGAAGTCATGAAGGAGAAGGCTGGGCCAGACTAATAGGAGTCTTGAAAAAAGACCCCAAATGCACAGGATATTGAGTGGGTCTGAGGAAGGACTTCTCCAGTTTGATCAACCAGCCCACACAAGCCACAACAGAAAGGAGCTGCCAAGTATGATTGGCCAATTCCTGTTTTGAATGAGTCAGAAGAAGCCAGTCATTCATGTAATAATGAAATTGCAGCCCCAGAGCATGGAGATGTCGAGAAAAAGCTCAGACTACACAGCAAAATATATAAGGTGCTGAGGCAAGTCCATAGTAAAGGGCCTGAATTGATGAACCACCCCAAGATGGACAAACTAAAGATAAGGATGAGACTGAGATGATATTGGTATATGTAGGTAAGCACTGGAGACATCCATTTTGGTCAGCCATAACCACAGAGAAAACCCACATCTCAGGGTGAGAAATGACTCCATGTTGAACCAGTGTAGTGAAACGAAGCAGATGAGGTGAAATAAATCAATTACCGGCCACCAATCACCAGTTTTCTTGGGGACTAGGAAAAGGCACGAACAAAAACCTCGGAAAAGATGGGGAACAGGTTCAATGGCCCTCTGCTAGAGCAATTCCTGAAGAGCTTCTGACAGAGGATGACTGGTCATGGGATCTCGAGGAGGAAGGAAGGAAGGAAATGTGGTAAGGAAAGATGGGAGGTAGGGAAAGAAAGTGCACAACAAATCCTTTTGAAAGAACCAGAAGCACCCATTGATCACTGATGAAGGAATGCCAGCAATGAAGAAACTTGAACAGCTGAGCTCCTACTGGACCAGAACCAACTGAGGAGTCACCAGTACTGGTGGCAATGGGAGGGGTGGGTGGTGAGTTGTCAAGGGAAGCAACAAGAAGAAGTACTTCAAGTAGAGGGGATGGGAAAGGATGGTAAACGTTAATTGGAGGCATATGAAGCTCTGACTGAGACAAATGGTTTATGATATTCGTCAGGATGGATTGTTGTTGGACTGATGTCACCTGAGGATCTAGAGTCTCTGGGACCATATCAAAAACATAACATCTCAGATATGGAGCCATACATAAGTCCCTAAGATATGGTAAATGGATCCAAGCCAATATGGAATCACAACCTACATGGTCCCAAAAACAAAGAAGCCATGTATGTAACATCAGAGCCAAAGATGAAATGCAGGCTAAGGTGGTGGAGAGAAGGTTATCTCCAGAAAACCCCTCATGATTTCTGTGGAGAGCCTCAGATAGGAGGTGTATGGAAGAAAAATATCGTAGATAAGGGTAAGACATAAACGAGAATATTGGGTATGGATTGACAGATGATTCCACCAAATAGGAAATAAGGAACCTAACAATTGCTGGTCTAAAAATGAATGGTCAGCATGATGGTAGGAAAGTGTGAACAGATCAATGTCCTTGGAGGGGGGGGTACAGCTTGCTAATCCCCTCGCTTAATTGCAAGGCAAAGTGATCAGTATGAACCCAAATATCAAGTGAAGGAGGAAAAACTAAAAAGGGTTGGGAAGATTATTGATGTAGTAAGGAAGGATAAGGTACATCAGAAATAGGGGAAAGGAATAAAATGTCACAAACCTGAGACACAAAATCCATAAAAACTGCATTAAGCCTAGTAGACTCATTAGGTTGGGAAAGGGAAGGAATGGCAAAATCTGGAGGTGGAAAAAGAGAATTGAAGTCCTCGGTGGCCTGCACAGGATCAGCCAGTTTTGGGGGAGCCTGGGTGTGGGGACAAAGGTTGTCCCATGTAACATTCAATCTCCCAGCATATAAAAGCAGGTAAATCCACCATTGCATCACCCATACCTGAGGCCTGAGAAAGAAATCAAATTAATTTAAAAATCAGAGTCAAACATGAAGCATTAAACAAAGAAAAGAGCATGTCAGAACTAAAGTGTGACCAAAGGAGAAGTGACAGTTCAGTAGAGGAGTGCAGAGGGAGTCATCTGCATCACATGGGCATGTCATGCTCCCATTGGTGAGGAGGTGATGCATGATGACTTGCATTAGAGACATGTTGCAATCTTGCAATTCCCATACGGAGAAGCGGAAGGCTTGTGGCATATGTAAAGAAAAAGTTTGCATGCAGTGGACAGCACTGAACGAGAATAGCTAATCCTGTAAGTGGAGGTAAGCACCGTATGGGATCATCTAATTTTTCAAAGTACATATAGCATAGTTATCCAATATATGGCAAATTATTTTTTGTATATCTCTTAAATTCAAACACACCCATCACTTCTTCTACAATCCTCTTTCCATAGTATATTGTTATTAAGTTTATCTAAGCATCTGATTATTTAGTTGCAAAAAGATATTAATTTAGTAAACACTTCCTTAGATAAAACTAACGAAGATACTAAATCAGTGCACAAATCAACCTTATTAAAATGGAATGCTAGCATAGATACTGTTGCTTTATCCATTACAGTTGACAGTTTCATCATAGTGTGGAGCTGAGAATAACAATCAACAAGTACTGTTAGTTTTTAGATTTAGTCCTAAAGTTACTAAGTCAAAACTGAAAAAATGTCATAAGTTATAACAAATTATTTTACACATAATAACCAATAAGTTTTAATTAAAATAATTATACATGAAAATGTAATAGGTTATTACTAGTGAACTCTGTTTAGATTTTTGTTTTCAGGGTAAACCCTCATTGGGCTATCTACTATCTCCACTGTGGGGAATTGAACCCCATATTTTAGCATTTTAAGTCCTTATACTTACTGCTGTCTAATCAAGAGAAAAACTATATAGATGAAAAACTCTGCTCAAATACAGTTTCTTTAGCATTACAAAAAATACCAAATTCTACACTATAAAAAAATATGTTTAGCAACACTACTTAAATACAAGCTTTCTTTATAGGTACAGTTTTACACCAAACCCTAAAAGATAAAAAATATATACTCTGTTCACATAAACTTGTAATTGTATACTGTAAACAGTCATCAGAAAACATCAGACTTACCTTCTTCTAACAGTTTTCCACTCTACCTTATAAATTGGTTTACAAAATTCAGGTTTTCCCTTGTTGCCAGCTGTTTGTACAATTATAAAAAAAATTGAAGATTAACTTCAAGTAAACGGGCTTGGTATACTACTTGGTTAAATAATTCAAGCATAACTGGAAACTGTTGCCCGGATACAAATGCCTACACTTTAATAAATCAGGATTAATTACTGCCAAGGCTCAAAAATCCAGCTGATGCTTAATATGTAGACAGATTCTTCCATGTGTGTTGAATAATAGCTTTAAAAGACTGTTTGTTTAAACACAAACTAATTGATAAAATAAGTAAATAAAAGTACTGGTACAAAGTTTACTACTGTACAAATTTAAAAAATCAACAGTGATTTAACTTACACATACAATCCATAGTATTTTACTCATTTAAAGCAAGTCCCAACAGACAATGTTTTATGCCACATTGTTAGCTCATCTAAATTATTGAAATAATGGATATTTAGCAGATAAAGACCTGTTAGATTCAAGCATATGTACAAAAATTGTTTCACAACAGTAGAATCTAAGCTATCATACAATTTGCTTTGACAAATAAATTCAGATGCATACATTTTGTTGTTGAAAACCTTAATTTACATAATAAAACAGATGTTGCACTACAGAAAAACTTACTGATTAAACTCTTAAACTGTTGGAGAGAGCTTTTTTGAACAACTTCCATCTGTCACAAAATAATCTATCCAAAATTAAGATGGAACTTACATTATCACCCTTATTATTAAGAACATATTTAAACACTAAGTAAGTATTTTTCACAAAACATATATTGAATTAATTTCCTCTGAAAAGGTAAAGGTTTGAATAAAAATGCTTATTTTCCATCACTAAACTTTAGGACCTATTCTCTAACCAGCATATAAATTTCTCCACCCGATTATGAGTTGTAAGAAATTTAACTTGAAATATAACATCTTATCATTATCCCCTAACATGTATTTAGATTGAAAATCTGACAGATTGTGCATGAGGAATTCAGATTTTAATTGAACATATATATTATTTCACTATTTTTTTTATATTAAACAATCCAAATGTTGCCTTTTAAAATCATATTTTGATTCTGGTTTCTTAGCAAAGATACATTGTAAGAAACAGTCTTTTCTGAATTGATGTACGAGGATAATGGTTTTTCTGGCACAATCTGAGATTTTATTCTTTATAAATATTAGCATGATCTACTCGAGACTTAATCTATTTGTCTAATTAACTGTCAAGCAGTATCGATTTAACTAAACAGTATAGAGATATACAGGGTGAGAAATATATACTGAATGTAGAAGATCAGCTGAACAAAACTAATAATGTTAAGTCTTGGAAAAGCCATTACTACCCACTTTCTAAAGAGAGTTGCTCATTACAAATCTTTAATAGTTCTGCTGTTACTTAGGTCCTTAAAACATTTACTTACCCCCTAAATTATATATTAACCCAATGAAATTGTACATAATATCACTAAAACTGTCTTTGCAATTCTGATCTATTAACATCATGATTTCTAGAGTGACTAGAAGTAACTTTTACATTAGATTGAAGCATTAAGTCAGTGAAACGTTTCAGTTAGTTTTGGGCAGATCTGTTAAAAGTGCTTAAAACTGGGAATAATGTACAGTTAATAAAAGTGCAAACTTAAATATTGTAACATTTCTTTTTTTTTAACACTGTGGTTATGACAAAGAACACAAAAATACACCCACCCACCTAGATGAATAACTTTTTAAAAGACACAGAAGGGGGGTGAACAATAATTAAGTTACCACAAACAGATTAAGTTGAATATGAAAGGCAAAAATAAAATGTATACAAAATTATTACACATCCAAGCATTATAACTAAACTGTAAGTAATTTTAAGATTTTAAAAAGTTCCACTTACCTTACATTTATTTTTGATAGGTCTAGCAACCTACATTATTAAAAATTTAGCTTTCATTGTTTCAAAGAGCAGTTTTAAGTAATGTGAAAATGCAAGCTTATTTAAAAAATATATTTGTTAACTACTAATGTGTGAAAAATTAAGAACCTTATCTCCAATTTTGGCTGCAAAGCAAAAGGTTAAAATTTTTTGAAATAAGACAGTTTAAGAATTATTAGGTCTGTATAACACAACAAAAATTGTTTAACTTATGATTACCAGTTTTTTTAATCAAAAGTTTAAATCATTTCATAAACTCAACTTTTTTACCTACTCAAAAGCATAGTGTTTATCAGACCAATCACAGCCTCTAATTAGTTGTAATAGCATATACTTTGTTTATACTCAAATGTATATATACGGGAATCCCAAATGGTGAAATTGAATAATTTGATTAAATCTAAATGTAATTTCACATTGTTACTTGGTAAGTCTAGACAAGTAAAACTTTTCATCACCAACATGCAAGAGATTTGTTTAGATGCATATATGCCTGTACATTTATATCATTCTAAAACAATGTTCCAAATAAAGAACAAAAATAGTAACATTGTCATAATATTGTTTATATTTAATAGATTTAGAATAATATAAGATAATTCTATTTTTCAAAGGTTTTATAAACATTCTTTTGACCTAACAACAAACTTTCATAAATAAAGAATAGGTGAAAAAATAACCCCATAAAACCTGACTTATCTTTACAGTATTCAAATAATATTTAGTAACTCTTTACCAAAGTTCACACATATAAATTTAGCAATTTTGATATTTTTACTTTGATATATTTCATACACCTTTATTCTCATTGAATTTAAAATATATTTTTGAGTTCTATTTTTTTCTTATGTAATCCACTGCATTTGAAACACCATAACTACAACTAGTTTTATTTTGTCAAGGACTAAAAAGGTCTTATGGTAACGTACAATGAGGATGCATGACTGTGGTGGGCTTCATTGGCATTTTGATGTTCCAAGTGCTAAGACTTCCATCTGCATGACTGCACATCAGTTGCTTTCCATCATGATGCCATGATACAGACTTTACTTGCTGAAAAAAAAAAGAAAACAAGATATATTTACCTACAAAGATGCATCTGCACCTTTACTTGAAATTCATATCATGTAAATAATATTATTTTGTCTTATGCTAATTTAACTTGCTAATTTAAAACATCATAAATTTGAAATACTGAATACCACTTTAATTTACTATGCAGTTGTTTACCTTGTAATAAGAATGGCTTTTAATTTCATATAACAAACAGAAATACAAGCACACTATTAAACAAGACAGGGGAAAATGCCCAATGATACAAAATGATAAAAACCCTATAACCCAAGCACTTTCAAAAGGGGCACCTTTCTTCTTCACAGGCAAACTGCGAATAACTATGGGAAGTAAAGAATTATGTACACGTAGGTAAAAAACTTGATTAAACTTAAGAGAATATAAACATACTAATTACTGTGAGCAATTTTGAATGTGTTCCTTTTAGATAACACGTATTAAAATCTTGAAAATGAAGTATTACAAACTTTCAAGTGAATGCCTTAACTCTGAATGAATAGCACATCTTTTTAAATGTTTTAATTTTTTCTATATCAGTAAAGCTCATACACACTGAATACTGAAAAAATGATTAGTTATCTAGTTATATTACATGTACAGTTACAAAATGAACACATTACCAACAACAAATCTAGTAAGAACTGACACACTTCTTCCTATCCCAGGGTAGCATGTATAAAGGTGATTTCACACTGAATGCGTTACTATTTATGGATGAGTACTTATGACACAGAATCAGCAAATATTTATACGTTTTCATGCCTCATCGTGCCATGAGCACTTTCACCTTAATACAAAAAACATTCATCATAGGTAGTTAAAAGATAACTACTTTGTGTAAAATTATAAAAAGAGTAAAGGTGAAGTTGTTTGGTCAGCATTTAATTCAGGACGTATCTTGTGAATCCACAAACTTTCCACTGTGCGTAGCAGCATTTCTTTGTTACACGCACTCCCAAGATGTTGAAGTGTTTAGAAGTGAAAAATATTAGCTACAAGCTAACAGTTTACCTTTTTTAAACACCAAGATTGTTAATTTAGGTAGAAGTTTTGATACTGAGTGTTATCATAAGACAACTTTCACAGGACAATATTTTCATTTGGATAGTTTTTTTACCTTTTGAATTTAAAAATTTATAGTTTAATTCATCAGGCTTATAGCATAGTTAATTCTTTTCCTCTTACCATGACGAAACACAAAACATAAAAGTTGTTTTACAAAAAAATAGTTTTCCTGTATAATTAATTGATGGTGTTATTAAGAATTATTTAAAAGGTTTGTACACTCCTAAAATAAGTAAACAAGTTGAAAACAAAGAATAGTTTACTTTACCATTTACTGGCAATCATCCCATAAAATTAAAGAAAAAAAATTAAATCAATTCTGAATAATAAAATTTACCCTAATATTAAGTTCAGAATTGTCTTTAATCTATTATTTCATTCAAGTAATTATTTTAAATATAAAAACAGGATACCTATAATGCATCGCTCTTACATCATATATAAAGTTACATGACCATGGTGCAACTTTGGCTATGTGGGCTCTACAATACGTAGTCTAAGCTCATGTATTAAAGAGCATGCACAAAACACAACATACACTTCAACATTTTGGGAAGTGTGTGTCGCAAAGTAATGCTACGCACGAAGGCAAGTTTGTTGATTCACAAGATACATCCAGGATTAAATGCTAAAAACAAGAGTAATACCACAACATCAGTATAATGATGCACTAATGATTAAAGAACACAACAATACTTAAAAAGCCAGAGTAGTTTTCACAGGACAAGCTTGTCATTCTAAACAGACAGAGTAAAACTGTTTTCAGTGTCTCATACATTCAGGCTGAAAACAGTCCAGAAAGAACACTTATAACCCGTTACCACAAGTATCACCATATAAATTTGGCTTACACAAGCTGTTGTGTCTTAGTGTGCTGTTACTAGTGGTAGGAAAATAGAATTTTAGGTTGTGTCAACAGAAATATTGAATACAAATTTAAAGAGGTTATAATTTCATTATATATGTCACTGGTTAGTCTTGGGCTCTTTGCTTTAAGAAAGACACTGAATTGTTGGAGAGAGTTAAGAGTGGAGTTTCTAAAACGGTGCCAGGGATGGAGGGGTTGTCATATGAGGAGATGTTAAAAATCTCTCAAATTGGTTTCTCTTAAAAAAAGAAAAAAAAAAAGGTTAGGGGGGGGGGGTGGATCTAATTGAGATGCTTAAGATTACAAATGGAATTAATAGTGTTGATGTATCATCTTTTTTCATACTTAACAGTGGGAATAGCAGCACTAGGGGACACAAATGTAAATTTTGGCAGGATAGGAGTCATCTTCAGCTAAGGCAGTTTTATTTTTCTAAAAGGTTGGTTGGCCTATCACCCCGGGTATCCTTTACTGCAGATGACACAAGGTTTTAGTCAAAATTATATTATACTACTTTTTGTTTATATACCAATTATAACAGTGTTGCATCAGCCGAGGTCACGTGACTAGTATCACGCCACGTCCTTCTCGAACCTTCGTGAATTGTCGGGATACTACTTGATTGGGGTAGTCTTGTATATATATAAGACGGTCACAATGTGACGGCAATAGGTGTAAGGTGTGTGTAATTGAACTGCGAAGAGAGAATATTGTTGAGCACGTGAGACGTTCGTAGAGAATTATAGCGTTTGTTATAGCGCGACTGTTAAAATTAAGTGTATCACAAAGTTATATACAGAAAGAATAAACCAGTTCTTTTAAGAAAGGACTTGTGTCGCTAAAGTTTCGTCGGAACAAATTTACGGAAAATTAACTAACGAACAGAGGCGTAACAAATTGCTGTCAGAAAGTGGGACAAAAAAAAATGGAAACGAGAAGCGGCAAATCAAACTACAGCTTAGCAGATTTGATGGCAGCAATACAAGAACAGCAAAAGAAACAAGAAGAATGAGAAGAGAAATTACAGCAGTTCTTGGAGGAAAAAAGAAAAGAAACAAGAAGAACGAGAAATTAAACAAGAACAGAGATTACAGCAGTTGTTGGAGGAAAAAGAAAAGAAACAAGAAGAAAGACAACAACAGTTACAAGAAAACCTACAACAATTGCAGCTCAAACAGCAAAATAAACAAAAGAAATTACAGCAGTTGTTGGAGGAAAAAGAAAAGAAACAAGAAGAAAGGAAACAGGAAGTCAGCAGCAACTACAGGAAAGCCCACACCAGTGGCAAGAAGTACAAATGGAAAACATTAGTAAATTTAAAAGCGAATTAGATACATTAAAGAATGATTTATTGTCTTTTAGACAAGGAGGATACATTAGCCATCGACTTAACCAGCCCCAGAAAATGGCAGGCCCCTTCCAGACCCTGCAGTTAAACCTTAATGCAGACATCTTCAGCCCTGTTAGAAGTCACATCCGAGATATGAATGTCAGTAATAGGAGTGATCCAGTGCGAAGGAAGCCACAGGAATTCGATGGGAAGGCACCGTGGGAAGCATATAGAGCACAATTTGAGCTACTGGCAGAGATTAACGGATGGACAGAGGAGCAGAAAGCAGTATATCTGGCAATGAGCTTGAAGGGACAATCAGTGGAAATATTTGGACAGTTGTCAGCAGATGACAGGCACAACTATAGAGCACTCGTAGCGGCTCTAGAACTCATGTATGGAACCCAAAATCAGTCAGAAGTCCACAGGGCTAGGTTCAGGACAAGAGTCGGTGCTAAAGGGTAGAGCCTGCAAGAACTGGTACAGGACTTGGAAAGCATGGCACACAAGGCCTACCCAACTGCACCACCCAATCTCCTCAAGTTGTTGCTGAGGGATCAGTTGCCTTGGACAGTCCACAACTTAATATACAAGTGAAGCAAGCACAACCCTCTACCATGCAGGATGCAATGGCCAGAGCTCTCGAACTTGAATCCTACGTTAAGTCCAGCACAGAGGTACCGAGGTTGGTACAGTCATCTGGATTCAAGGCCAGAAAAGGTCAGCTTTCAGAGAGGTTTGAGGGATTTTGCTGGCACTGTAACAAACCTGGGCACAAGAGATCTCATTGCTGGCAACTTCAACACAGGGGAGATGATACAGCAGGAAAGGCTATTACCCAGAAAGGCTGTTGGAACTGTGGGGAGCAAAGACATCTGGGGAGTTAGTGTAAGAAAAATATCACCAATAAGTCAGCTTCGGGAAACCAGTAGTGGTTGGTGCTGAGGGATGCCCACCAACCCCCATCGTGAAAG